TATATATATACTATAATATATATACATAGTTTATAAGTCATATTCGATAGTATACATCTTAAGATATACTATATATACATCTTACTATATATATATAGAGCTTATATATCTTAAGATGTATATATATCTTAAGATCTACTATACTATACTATATATATGTAGTATATCTTAAGATGTATATATAGTATATTTTAAGATGTATATAATATAGTATATATATATTTTAAGATGCATATATAGTATATAAATCGAATATAGCTTATATATCTTTATTATTATTTTTTTCTCTAACTTCTATAAAAAAAAAATTTAAAAATACAAAGTTTCTGTTGGGCCCGTTTAGGCCTGTTTGGGCCCACTTAACCCGGGACCGTTAGTTCGTGGTCCCGGTCCTGAGCCGGTTCCAGCAATAAGCCCGCGAAGTCCGGGACCGTTTAAGACCGGACCGCATAGAACCGGCCCACTTAGGACCGGACCCGTGAAGCCCACTTAAGACCGGGCCCGACCCACTTGCCAGCCTTATTACGGGGTATAAAGTTTAAGTATGTTCTTGAAAAAAGAGTACTACTTCAAGAGGTGATCACTAAAAAAATCGGAGTAATTACGGCTGACATATTACGGCGGCTTCCAAGAACCGCCACAAAATTGAACATAAAATGATGTTGTTTAAGTCGCCATTATTTAGCATTATTATAACGACGGTTTAACCTATATTATGCGGTTTGAACCGCCGTTAATTCTTCAAAGTATTTATATTTTCCCCTCAATACATTTTAGTATTTCCCACTTATTATATTTGGGTCTCCCTCCAGTTTTTTGCAACTCCCGCATTTAGGTCTCTCACATCCCTCCAAAATCCCAAATCCCTCTTTCCCCAATCGATCACAGCTTCTTCCTCTCTCTCTCTCTCTCTCTCTCATAAATCTCTATTTCTATTTCTACGGCTAATTGAAAGAAAAGAAATTCAAATCAGAACAAGTAAGTTTCCAACTCTCTCTATAGTCAGAACTTGTTTAGCACGAGCAGCTTCAGTAATCTCTTGGTAAAGACGCAGATTTGGTACCAAAAGCTTTTTGTTAGGGTTCTGTGTTTTTCTCCAATGTTTATCTTCTCTTTCTCTTTATTAGGGTTCATGCATGTTTGGAAGTTTAGCGATTTTCCCCAATTCATGTTCTAATTTTTTTCTCAGTTCGATAATCGATGATTCATTCTGTCAATTGAAAGCGATTAAAGATATAATGAAAACGAAGAGTAAAAGTATTGTTGTCTGCATTACTGTCATTGAAAGCGATTAGAAGATATTCATTATGTCAATCGATTGTGTTAATTTTTGTAACTTTTCTGTTCAATATTTGTTTAAATTTTTTCTGCTCTGTTTGGTATTTGGATTGCATGCACTTAATTTTGACATTTTTAATTATTGTTCTGCTAATATTAACCTAAATATTATATATGGCCTTGATAGGTAGCCGAGGGATCTAAAACAACTGGCGAAGCTATTGGGATCGAGGTTGACAAAAAAATATTTGATAGGTATAGCTCTTGTCAGTTAACTTTATCCTTTCGTTTGAGCAATCTTCTTTTTTTAAAGGTATATTATTCTTTCTTAGTATTGAGTTACTTCCTAATAGTGTGAATTTGTAATTAGATGTTGGATTTTTATATGTTTTAACCTATAACTTACGAAAACTAAGTTGAAGATATAGATAGTTCTCGCAACAAAGTAAAGATTAGTGCTTAATCTTTTTTATAAGTTCTCTTAAGGTAGATAACATAATTACATGATAAAAATGTGTATATACAGAGTATCAAACAGAGTGCATTGTTGATCTAACTTTTGCTGCAGATGTTTGCCCATGGGCTATATTGTTGACCTAACTTGTTTTAGGCAGATTAATACCTTTTTTATATCTGTTTAACTGTTTATATAGAGATAGTAAGCATTGATTTAACTAGAATTCAAGAAGTTCTTGTGCATGTTACCTTACTATCAGTGAAATAGGCGTTTACTCCTATGATTTTTTTTGTCAAGTCTGCAGTCTTTGCTAATGTCCACACATGCTAGTCTGTTCTATGTATGTACTTGTGTGTATTTGCTAGAGGAAAAAGTACTTATATTCTCTTATTGTCTTGTGCCGGTGGTTGATAGTTTTTAAGTAAAAATATTATATGTTTAATTTAGTTACAAGTCTGTCCAGTGAACTAAGCAGACCAGTTATTTAGTTTTTTATTGTAACTGCCCATTCTGCGATGCTAATATTGAAAAGGTTGTACCTTTATGGCTGTATTTCTTACTACTATATCTTTGTCTTTCCCACTTTTTATCACTGCATGTCTCAATATTTTAGAGCTCTTGTGTAAACCAAAGCAGCCATAACATAGTAAAATGTCATTGTTGTCACCTTTGAATATTGTTACAAAAACTATATTTTAAGAATCACTTCGTTTTTTTTATTTGGCAATACAGAGTGACATGTAATCCGGAGTGACTTATACATATAAAGTAGCTTACATATATTTTCACTTACTAGGACTAAGTTGAAGATATAGAAAACTTTTAGATGGTAGTTCTAACATGCTTTATTTTTTGTTTTTCCCTGAATAAGTTGTATCCTGTTTTTGTTTTTCTTTGTTTGTTTCTTGCTTTGGTTTTTCTTTACATATTCTTTAGAAGATATGAATTAAATTTTTTATTTTGATATTGTGATGTTATCTTGTGTCTTCCTTTCTATAGCCATGCGAATTGATAAGTCTTGGATTAGCAAACCGAATGTAGTTTTAACACGTGGCAAAGAAGAAATGTAGTTGAAGAGCACTTGATTTGTAAGCCTTTTCAAAAAAACTATAAATTTTGGTATTGGCATGGTGAAGAATCAAATGCAACTATGCATCAGACTTCTCAGAACACACATGTAATAGAGGATATTTTAGAGCCCCAAGATCCAATGGAAATCATGATAAATGATGCATTTGGGTTTGCCAGGAACAATATCAATGAGCTTGGTGTATCTTCTAATTATATGAATAGAGAAGTGGTCTTTTCGACAATACTCACCAAAGGATTAGCTTAGCTCTATATGTTGCTATATGGCTGCTAGTAGTCGCTGGGATTTTAGGGCCTGACAAGTAAAGGATACCATAATTCACTATGGAAATTTTCTCTTCTGCCAATTGAATAGACCTTTATGTGGGTTGTCTTGAGCTTCACTGCTCTTTATTGCAAGTACAAAGGCAGTTTGAAATTCCCATTGTTGTCAGAACATCAATGGTATAATCCCAGGTTGGATGCTGTGAATGTCCCTTAAAAGCAATCTTGATGGTCATATCTTGCAAATCTGCTACCCCTGCTCTTGCCTTCCTCTGTTTTGTTGCTATTAGGGGTGTTACTTTTCCCTTTTTTGGTTTTGGTCAAAGATCACAGAATGAAAGAAAGTTATTGAGAAGAAGAGTAGAGAGTAGAATCACAGAACAGAAAATTAGTAGATGATCCCAATCTCTTGGTTAATCAAAGAGAGTGTAGCCATAAAACATTTAACTGTATGAATGCAACACGCTAATAAAAATTGACTTGTCTATACAATTATGTACCAGTGTTTATCCTTATTAATGTTAGCAAGAGAAGTGAGAAACACCAAGAAATGGAAACCCTGCTTTGTTAGCTGATAAGATCTGTTCATCAAATTACCTTTTCATTTCGCTTCCTTTTTAGGTTCAGATAGAAACCTACATCTCTTTTTTCTTTTAGCTGATAAGACCAGTTTCTGAAAGGAAATAACTAACTTGTGCTGCTTCTATCACATTAGAAATCTAGTTATTCCAGACAAGGTTCTCTTCCATATAATGTTTATATGGAATTATACTATCTGAAGTAACTAGGAATTCTGATCTTCAGGAGTCATTGCTCCCTGAAGAAGAACCTGCATGTATACTCTTGTTGATGTTGTTCAGCAATTTCTTGGATCTGTTTCTTTTGTGCTTAGATGTGAAACTTGAATTGCATTATTCCCTTAGTTTGACCGTCTTTCGAACATTAATTTATTTTGAGATTTTCCAGTCTAGTTTGTCGGTTTATCGAGTTAATGTTTTGCTGCTATTTTTAGGAGTACAAGGTTTTAATAGAATTAGTCCTCTCAATTTACTTATTGACTGTATATTTTTTCAGGCGCCAGATTTAGGAAGTGATGCACCGTCACCAGTTGATCCAAGAAGATCTTTAGATGAAAGTAATAATGATTATCGTCCAAGTGCCAATTAGTAATTATTATTATTAGGATCAACTGACTTTTTTGGGTATTATTGTTGAAGAATGTAATTGTCACGACTCGGCATTTCCACCGTCGGGACCGTGATGGAGCCTAACATTTCACTTGCTAGGAAAGCCAACGTTGTAATAATTTATCTTTTTTAACAATTTAAATTTAATTAATGAAGAAGAACTGATTTAACTGCAATAATCTAAATATAAATGCGAAAGCTAAAACCGTAAAAAAACATCTGCTACAAATTCCTGAACCCGATGTCACAAGTGCACGATCTTCTAGAGTAATACATACAAGAGTCTAAAATAAATACAAAGTTGTCTGTATGAAAATACAGAGCTAAATAAAAATAAATACGGGGACTTCAGGAGCTGCGCGCGCTGAGCAGCTGTATCTCAAGTCTCAGTCTCTGCAGGCTGTCCAATCTGAGCTCTTTAGTAGCCACCGCTGGGACCGACTTCAAAATTTGCACAGTGTGCAGAGTGTAGTATCAGTACAACCGACCCCATGTATTGGTAAGTGCTGAGCCTAACCTCGACGAAGCAGTGACGAGGCTAAGGCGGATCACCTACACTACAACCTGAACGCATTATATAATAATAATAGAAAATGGGAATACTGTCCAGAATTAAAAGCCAACTGAAAATAATAACCTCAACCTCAAGCCAGTGTCGTCCAGAATTACAAATCTTTAAGTGCAAAAGAGAATACCGTAAAGCTAACACAGCTCAGGGAAACATAAACACATAGGTTGTTGCGGCGCGCAACCCGATCCCACAGTACATCTCATACTCCTCCCTTATTTCCTTATAATAACATAAACAAAAATGAATATATATATAAAAGTATTGCGGCGCGCAACCCGATCCCACCATATGTCAATATCAGTATCATAATTCACCCTTATTTCACCATGCCAATCCACCCTTATCCACCTGTTGCAGCATGCAATCCGATCCTACCGTATAGTACAAATTCACCTTTATTCCACCACATCAATCCACCCTGATTACACCTGCTGCGACGTGCAGCCCGACCCCACCATATCATTACCATGTACTCAATACACAGTCAAATCAACAGTTCATACCACAATAACCTTTACGATCAACAAATACCAAATTGAACCAAATGGAAACCTCATACAATATAGAAAATCTACACGAGTAGTACTACACAGCGAGACCAATCCAGTAATTGACAATTAGAAGGTGCAAGTAAGTCAATTTAAGCAAATATCAGGGAATCATGAAACTATGGAAGAACTAAGGTCGTGAACATAAGAAGATATTGAATAACAAGTAGCAATTAAGCATGAAAAATATTTAGAGCATATAACAGTTAAGACAGAAAAAGAAATAATTAAGAAAAAGCGGTAAATTAGGGAAAACAGATAATTCGGCGGCGTATAAGCACTCTTCACCTTGCATATACGCCGCTCACATAGGAATCACAGAGCACATAATCCGAGGGTTCCTAATTCCCTCAAGTCAAGGTTAGATACAACACTTACCTCGCTCCAAAGGCCACTCAATGCTCAATTACCGTTTTTCTTCTAGAATCTACGTCCAAACCACTCGTATCTATCCACAAACGACTCAATATTATCAAATATTGCTAAAAAAATTAATTACAATGCATAAATTTAGATTCCCCAAACTTTCTCTCAAAAAGTCAAAAATCGACCCCGGGCCCGCTTGGTCAAAACCCGAGGTTCGAACCAAAATCCATTCACCCATTCACCCCTGAGCCCGATTATATAATTTATTTCGAAATCTGACCTCAATTCGAGGTCTAAGTTTTAATTATGCAAAAATCCCTAATTCTACCCAAACCCCCAATTTTTACCATGAAAAACCTAGATTTTAGGTTGAAAACTCATGAAATGTAATGGGTAATTGAAAGAAAGTAGGTTAGAATCACTTACCAACGAATTGGAAAGAAAATCTTATGGAAGAATCACCTCTAGGTCTTTTAGTTTTGAAAATTTTGAAAGAATGGCAAGAATCCCGTAATTGGGACTATTTTATCACTGGGTGTCAGTGTTCATCGCGTTCGCATGAACACTAACGCGTTCGCGAAGAGCAGAGCCCTCGTGGCTTACGCGATCGCGGGTGACACCACGTGTTCGCGAAGGTATAGCCCGCCTCACCTTCGCATTCGCGAGACAGGGCTCGCGTTCGCATAGAGTCACCTTAAGTCCCCTGCCCAGCCTAGCTAAAGCTACGCGTTCGCGTATGACGGGTCGCGTTCGCATAGAGCAAACCCCCCAATGCTCCGCGTTCGCGACCATGGTCTCGCGTTCGCGTAGTGAAAAATGCTCCCCCAACCCAGATCACCCTTCGCGATCGCGAAGTACAACGCACCAGAACACCAGCTGCAATAAAACACCAGATTTCTTTTCTAAGTCCAATTCACCCCGTAGCCTATCCGAAACTCACCCAAGCCCTCGGGGCTTCAAACCAAACATGCGCACAAGTCCTAAAACATCATACGAACTCGCTCGCGCGATCAAAACACCAAAATAACGCTTAGAACTATGAATCGGACACCAAATCAAAGAAAATTTTCAAGAAGACTTTAAAACTTCTATTTTCATAACCGAACGTCCGAATCTCGTCAAATCAACTCTGTTTATCACCAAATTCGACAGACAAGTCATAAATATTATAGTGGACCTGTATCGGGTTCTGGTACCAAATACGGACCTAGTGTCAATAAATCCAAACATCAGTCGATTCTTAAATATCATAAATCTTTCAAACTTTTAATTTTCAACAAAAATCAATAACTCGGGCTAGGGACCTCCGAATTCGATTTCGGGCATACGTCTAGGTCCCAAATTACGATACGGACCCACCGGAACCGTCAAAATACGGATCCGGATCCGTTTGCTCAAAACGTTGATCGACGTCAACTTAAATAAATTTCTAAGGCAAAAATTCTTATTTTTATCAGTTTTTAACATATAAACCTTCCGGAAGAACACCCGGACTGCGCACGTAAATCGAAAAAGGCTAAAATGAGTTTTATTGAGACCTCAAAATATAAAATTAGGTTCTAAAATATAAGATGACGTATTAGGTCATCACAGTAATATTGATGATACTTGTGTTGGAATACTTGAAACATTAATATTTTGATGATGTAATGTTGGAATACTTGTGTTTTATATAATAAAAATATTACTTATTTAATATTCTACATTGCGATAAAATTATTATGTAGTGTTATACAAGTTTTAATGCACAACATGCAATAATTAGGATTGTAAATTTTATATAACAAAATTGTGAAAATTATGATTTGAAAAGCTACAATTTTAGCATATTGGGCTTAAATCAGTCGTTTGTCTTGGACAATTACGGCGGTTATAACCGCAATAATGGAAAAATTAATTTGTAATTTTATACATAATTACGGCATTTTTAAACCGCCACATTAAGAAAAATTAAAGGCCGCAAATAACAATAAATATTGTGGCAGTTTTTGTAAGTCATTACGGCGGTTTAACGAAAACCGTCATAAATACTTCTGGCGGACGGGATTATGGCATTTTCTCAAGCCGCCGTTAGTGCATTTTCTGGCGGTTCTAAACCGCTGCTATTTGTAAACAAAACCGCCACTATTAACCCGTTTGTTTTGTAGTGTAATTAGGTACTCTGATAGAGCTCTTAACAAGGTTCTGTAAAAGATAAATTTCTCATTCCAATAATTGAGGAGCTGTTGGATGAACTAGAGAGATTACAAATTTATTTCAAGATAGACTTGAGAGCTGGATACCATCAGATTAGGACGACAACTTCGCGCAAAACAACTTTCAAGACTCACTTAGGACTACATTTAATGATGCATTTCACTTAGAACATGTACAATATCTCGAAGTTACTTTTGACTTGTTAGTTCAACACCAATTGTTTGCTAAATAAATCAAATGTATTTTGCAATTGAGAGGATTGAGTATCTGGGGTATCATATATCTGTTGAAGGGGTAGTCACATATCCTAAGAAGGTAGAAGTTATTCAATCATGGTTAGAGCTTGCTAACCTTATGTAAACCTGTTATTGATGTTCGAAATAGGTTAATTTTAAATGGTCCAACAACGCTACCGTAGCTTTTGATGAACTCAAGAGGGCACTGGCTTTTGCTCCAGTACTAGTGTTACCAGACTTCTCTATACCCTTTGTAGTAGATACTGGTGCATGTAACCTAGGAATTGGAGCAGCCTTGATGTAAAAGAGGCAACCGATTGCCTATCTTAGCATAGGGATATCTCCTCAACATAAAACACTCTTAGTATATGACAAGGAGCTACTGGCTTTGGTCATGGTAGTTAAAAATGGGCTCAATATTAATTGAAAGACCTTTTATATTGAAGACAGATCAAATGTCTCTCAAATTCCTTCTTGAACAAAAGTTGCACACATGGTCTCAGTTGAAGTGAATAACTAAATTCATGCAATATGACTTTATTATTGAGTATAAGAAGGGGAAGGAGAACAAATTGGAAGATGCATTATCTAGGCTTTTAGTAGTTGAATTAGCTGCTTTGACCTTGTCAACAGTCAAAACTGACTTATTGACTCTAATAATGCAAAGTTTAAAATTGGATGTGGAGTTAATGTTATCTCAAGCTTAAAGGAGGATGGAGAAGCTAAAACTCGAAGATATTCTTTTATACATGAATAACTTTAAAAAGAGGGAAAAATGGTGATAGGTCTTGATGCACAACTAAAGAAGAACATTATGCACTTGTGGCATGATTCGCCCACTGGTGGATACTCTAGCATTGAGCAAACTTACAGAAGGATATCTTCTCTTTTTTATAGGAAGGGGATATGGGAGGATGTACATATATATGTCAAGGATTGTGACATCTATCAGAGACACAAGTGTATTGGTGGAAAAATAGTCTCGATACGTGAATTAATGATATGCTGATAGGTGGCACTAGAATTAGAGCAATAAAGAAGAATGATGAGGCATGGATAAAATACCCACAGAATTATTTATAAAGATACCGCATCTGACAAATGGGAAAGAAGAGATGCACGAGAAACATGATTGAAGACTACAAAAAGGGAAGATTCATTAATACCTACGAATATAGAAAAGAAACTTGCACAATCCCTGATTATGCGCGGTTGACTATTATTACCATAACCATTACGAATGACTCAAGTAACAGGCA